ATTATATTATGCTATTTAATTATTGGATAAATTAAGTGATCTATTAAGGAACCTAATTAGGTTTCAAAATGAGTATGGGTTAAATGAGTGGATATCCACATTGGCACAACAAGGTATAATGGGAGCCTGGTGGGCCCAATGATGAGGGATCAGGAAAAGGGTTACGGTTCTCAATATGTCAAATCAATTAGATGGTTTTTCTCCTCCCATCAAGAGAGAACTTCCACATAAGGATTCAGTACTCTGGTTATTTGACTGAGGAAGACATCAATCTCAAATAAAAGGATCACTTAATAAAGTGAACTTTATATTGTACCCCTATTTGGATCATGACTTACCTAATTTTTTACTACAATTGATTGTGGCCCACAGTAATTATAAAAATTCTAACAGCTTGGTGAAAGATTGAAAAACTATTAAATGGTTGAACTCTGAATGTAAGTCGAAGTAGTGGTGCGAACCAGAATAAATAATATTTGCATTATTCTAAACCCTTAACTTTATTTAGTAGTAGTTTTTATTTTTTTTTATATTTTTTTGGGGGGGTGGGGGTAGGCTATTTAGTAGCACTTTATTTTCTTTTTAATTATATCATATGTTGATAATATAGATTGTTGAAAGTGTTAAAGTTGTATATCATGCATTATTTGAATATGTTGAGAATGTTTTTATATATTTAAGTTTGTTTGAAAAATAAAAAATATTAAAAGAATTCAATACGAACTATTAATTCCTACTATTATTAGTTCATGTAATTCTTTATCCATCTATATAAATATTAAAAAGGTTGAAAATTGGATATATGATTTGTTAGTTCATCTTTATAGTTAATCATTTTGCTAATTTTTATTATTGTTTGATAAAAAAAATTGCAAAATAAGGAAAATCAATTATTTTATATAAAAAACTCAATTGAAACAATTAATTATCTAACATTTAAAATTTCCTAAAATTTTAAAAAGTTTTATCCAAACACGCACTCAAGCTACAATGTAATTTGACCTCCTTTTTACGTGACAAATACTGTTGGTTTGTTGCAAAGTGAAAAAACTTTATAAATATCCCTAACATTTTTTTATAATAAAAAATTCTTTAATTTTTTTAGTCAATAATGTCCCTATCGTTTAAAATATTCTTTTATTAATTTTAAATAACATCGTTAAAATTTATCACATTATAACTATTTTACTCTAATTGCCTAAAAACACAAATTAAAACAATGCTTCTAGTTCTAAGTTCTACCTTAGTTTTTCCATCGGTAATTGATACTCTATTAAAGCTTCTATGTGCAAGGAGAGGAGAGAAGATAACCATGCTCGAGTCAAGTACCAAATTTATATGATAGGAAAGGAAAAATTACATGATAAAGCTTTTGCTTCATTTTATTTTGTCATAGACTCATAGTTTCAGCACCCAGTACAAAACTAAAATTTCTCTTTCTCGAAATCACAATTTATATATCTTTCCTCGATTAATGGTGAAAGTAGTTTGCTAAATGGATTTGGTATATATATTTCGTTGATTAATAGTGAATATAATTTACTTATTGAGTTTGGTATAAATTTATTTTCTTACTTTTTTTTTTGTAAGATCACGAGTTTGAATCTGAAAAATAACCACTTTGCAAATATAGAAAAATAAAGTTATGTAAAAGAATTGCTTTCACGAGTGCCTTCATTTTTTTAGAGGGTAGCTGCTCAAACTTTTACTAGTTGATTTTGAACTCTTATTAATGAACAATTGGATGGCAAAACCGTCACATTAACAGTGTTATTTCAAGTTAACAGAGATATGTATATTTTAAACTTATTATATTGATTAAAAAAAGTAAGCACATTTTTTTTCTTAAAAAAAATTAAAGATATTTATTTTACCAAACATTTAATTAATTAGCTCGTACACAAAGCATGTATGGTTAGGTCTATTTTGCAATGCTTCAAGATACTGCAGATGATAGATACTATATAATAGTAATTTTAGAGTTACCTAATTACTTAAACTAGCAAAGTAGCAGCAATGTGATCGATGCACATGGTCCCCCACCCTATCTGTCACACTTGTCATATTTACCGAATTGTCTGACTTCATATATCTATTAAATGGATATAGCCTATCCAAAATCATAAATGGCGATTTCTTATTGGATGAAAGAGATATTTAATATTTAATGATATTTTTGTGGATGTTCGATATTGTGGTAAGGGACGGAAAACAATTTCGAAGTGATTACGAACCAATAGAAACTCGGATATAGATCTCATAAGATAAGTACCACATTCATCTTTGAAGCCATATATAAATAAGACCCATCTAAGCTAACCCAACTACAGCCATCTATCCTTAAGCTTTTCAGTTACAGAGTTTTCCATTGATTGCTACTATAATTGTACAATGGCTGCTTCAACAATGGCACTCTCTTCTCCATCTTTGGCTGGGAAGGCAATCAAGCTTTCCCCATCCACCCAGGAGCTAGGCACTGGACGGGTCACCATGAGGAAAGCAGCAACATCCAAGAAGCCCGTTTCTTCTGGAAGCCCATGGTACGGCCCGGACCGTGTTTTGTACTTGGGCCCATTCTCTGGTGAGCCTCCATCATACCTGACTGGTGAATTCCCAGGTGACTACGGATGGGACACTGCTGGGCTTTCAGCAGACCCAGAGACATTTGCAAAGAACCGTGAGCTGGAGGTGATCCATTGTAGATGGGCCATGCTGGGAGCCCTAGGGTGCGTGTTCCCTGAGCTCTTGGCCCGAAATGGTGTGAAATTCGGTGAGGCAGTATGGTTCAAGGCAGGATCACAGATATTCAGCGAGGGTGGGCTTGACTACTTGGGTAACCCAAGCCTAATTCACGCACAAAGCATCCTTGCCATATGGGCTTGCCAAGTTTTATTGATGGGTGCCGTTGAGGGTTACCGTATTGCGGGTGGGCCTCTGGGTGAGGTGACAGACCCACTTTACCCAGGTGGGAGCTTTGACCCATTGGGCCTTGCTGATGACCCAGAGGCATTTGCAGAGCTGAAGGTGAAAGAGATAAAGAATGGTCGGTTAGCAATGTTCTCAATGTTCGGATTCTTCGTTCAGGCCATTGTCACTGGAAAGGGTCCCTTGGAGAACCTTGCTGACCATCTCGCTGACCCTGTCAACAACAATGCTTGGGCTTATGCTACTAACTTCGTCCCTGGAAAGTGAGAAATGACCATGACCTGCAAATCTGAGTGTGAATTTCATTTCGTTGTTGTGTGAAATCATATTGGTGCCTTGGAGAGAATATGAATTATATCTATTTGGTCCTTCTTTTTTTCTTTTTTTCTTTTTAAGCTTCCATTGTTTATGTGCTTATTAACCAAACTAATTAAGCTAACAATAAATCTTAAACAACAGGGAAAGTGTTAAGTTCTGGAGCAATAGGAGGTAGAGGAGAAAAAGAAACTAATTATTTTACATTTTATATAAATTATTATTATCTTCAAGATTTCTTGAATATTACTTAGGGAAAAATATTTCAGTTGCTGTAAAAATATAGAGTACATAAAAAAACATACCCTTTTACAAATTATTTACAAACCATAGAGGCATATGTGATAAGAAAAAAATCACAGGGTATAAGTGATTCTAGAGTAAACCACAAGGACATTGATGAACTTTTTCTTTTTTAAAATTACTGGCAGACAATTTTTCTGGAGTACAGAAAAGTTAAACCCTATAACTTATGATGCACTTCACAAATCTACCGCAAATTTGAATATTACTCCTCCCAAGTAGCATATGTTTATAAACCACCAAATCACCGCCATTATTCATTTAACCCCAACTATAGGGGTAGGAGAAATCCATGGATGCCTACTATTTCCCAAATTGAAATCTGTGACGTTACTGTCACAAAAGAACCAGCTCTACCACTGCTACATGCTCACCTCTTAAACAACTATATGTTTATATTTGAATTTACTTGTCCTCGTCAAATTTGACTTCTTAAGTTGGACAAATTAAATTTAGATGCATTCACATAGCAAATTGTGATGAGTTTGTGTAAATACTAGTGCTCATTGGTGCCTTATATTAAAATTATATTCAGCTTTAATGAGACTAGAGAAGTTTGCTTCTGTGACGTGACATAGTTTTGCAAATGCTTTTCACAATAAGAAAATAAAGTAAAAACATTGATTTGTTATCCCGTGCATAAAGTCTGGTTGGTGATAGTTTCCAGGTGTGTCTATTTTGCATTACTTTGATGGGTTCCTTTTAAGGAAAAAAAGATAAGCTTAGGAGAATTTTAAGATTAAAAGAACTGAAACAAGTTTTTCCTACTTTTTCATTCGATCAGAAATCCTTAAATACATGATACATTCCAACTTCTACTTCCTAAAGATAACAATTTCACTGTAACGCTGAGAAAACTAAAATTAACTGGCTAACTAAGTTATAAATGAATTTATATCCTCTCATGTTAAAAAAAATATAACATAATCATATAGAGAATTATAACCATACACAGATAAATCCATAATAATAAAAAAAAAAGAAAATAAATTAAAAGAAATAATTACAAAATCACAACCGTTCATTCAACTTTATATATAGTTATAACCTTCTGAGCATATCATTTTATTTTATTTTTATATAAGAGGATTCATTTTCGTTACAAGCAAAGGAAACGTAGATATGAAAACAACTGCCTAACTATGCTGTAATGCGGCTAAAGAATGGAACAAGCACGTCTGTCATGCATCAGGGAACAGAAGTGGTTTAGCGGTTGGTGTAGGGGTGCGTATCATACTTCGAAGATATTTGCATTTTGAGATACTCTGATGAAAGATGTTTTATTCACTTGATGCAACAGGGAGAACAAAAGCACAATAAATCCCACTTATGCTTATTTTTAAGTGGGATTTCAAAAACACTTGAAAACACTTTTGATTACAAATAGGAGATGCCTTATTCAAAAGGAAATTATGAATTACAACTATCTCACCTCCTCTGGGATTTCAAACTTCTTTTGGATTCAAGTTTTATGCCCAAAGAATGCATGTGCATAAAAAGAATAATGAAACTCTTAAAACTAATATTTTGTGTCAGACCAAAGCCCTTTGTATCTACAAACACCCGCTACAGACTGCACTGCATCCAGTGATGTCTTTGACCAAAAATTTATGCATATTGCAGACTTTGTCTGTATAAAACATTTAAGCCTTCAACTTTCTGTACCTTAGTCACAATTCAATCCACAAAGTTCCAACACAATGTCATTTTTGGACAAGAATGGGTTGATTCTCACCCATAGAAGAGTGAAGATTGAAGACAGAAGAATAGCCCAAACCAAAATGATTGTAGGAACACCTTCCTGTTTTCCCATAACTCCTTTGAGGAATGGATAAAGATGGACAATGACCCAAAGGGCAAAAAATAGCTTACCAAATAGAGGACCCCATGAATCATATCCATTATTTATAGCATCTGAAACACCAACAATAACTCCAATTATGTTTATGATTAGCAAGGTCATAGGAGGGATCAACAAGGATGTCCACTTGAAGATGTATAGTTCAGCAAACTCTCCATCATCTGCAGCTTTGGATGTGACAGTGAAGTTGGTGCTAACTCCTGCAAGAACCTTAAGCAAACCTTGAAAGAGAGCAAACAGATGTGAAGAGGCACCACCAATAACCCAGAACTGCTCATTTCTCCACCAGTCATGTATACCAACACCTCCCCACTGCATTTCCAGGATGCTAGTTGCAGCTATAGAGATGAAGAGGGCCATGAAAATGATACTGGCATAGTTGCTAATCTGGGAACAAGAATATGAAGCATTAGTTAAATGCTCTAAACAGGGCATCACATTCTAAGTTTATGTACTCCTAGGAGGAATGGTCCTCGCATGTCTCGTTTTAACATGATCACATCATGTGAGAAATCTCAGTCATTCATTGTCAAATCAACAACCACAATTTTAATGGCAAAACTTGTAAAATGGAAAAGTGAAAATGGTCATCATAATTGCTGAACATTGATCTATCAATGAATGACTAAGATTTTCACATGCAGTGATCATGTTAAAATGAGACATGAGAGGATCAATTCTTATTCCTAGGATTTAACTTGCACTCAATCTCAGGCATGGAAACGGGAAATTCACTTTCATTTAATGCTATCTAATCAAGTGTAATACAACAAATCCTACCTCAGGGACTATGAACTTCCCAGTGAGCAGACAAACAGCTGGTAAAGCGCAGTAGGCGATTAAGGGAATTGATGTCAAAGGATAAACAACTGAGTTTATGTAAGAGAATCGTTCCAGCCATTTCAAGCCACAACCATAACCATACCATATAGGGCAATGCCTACTGAAAAAGATCTCAACCGATCCAAGCGCCCACCGAAGAACTTGATGCAAACGATCTGAGAGATTTATAGGAGCTGAACCCTTAAAAGCAGGTCTTTTTGGCATGCAGTACACAGATCTCCAACCATGACAATGCATCTTGAAACCAGTTAAAATATCTTCTGTAACAGAACCATATATCCACCCAATCTGAAAGACAATTTAGCAGAGGTCTAAATATATATAGACTCCGGCTTAAAAGAGCTTCAAAGCCTAAAATCTGAAAAAGAGAGCATACCTCTTTCCCCCACTCTGTCTTATCTTCATAACCACAACTAATTACATGGATGGCTTCTTTTAAGAGTGTTGCAGAAGTAGCTGCTTTTAGAATGCCCCCATCTTCCATAAGTGTTGAAGTTATGAAAACAGCTGATTGCCCATATTTTTTCTCAAATTTTAGTTGAGACGTTAGTGATGACTTCTCATTGTCCATTCCTGTGAATGAGGTTTCAAGAGAAACACAAAAAGGCCATAAAAAACTGGTTAGTTTCATCAGCATGCAAAGACAGTAAAAGTATGCAAATTGCAACATATGTATACATCATAATAGTAGTGCAATCCGCTGCTTCTCAAAAGACTATATAAGAGTTTTAGAATAGTCCTGATAGTTTCCAAATGAAACACATTACCAATTTGAGGTATTCAATACCTTCAATTCCCTCTTCAATATTTTCTAGTGCATGCATTTGCTTTGTATCATCCTTATTCTTTATCTTCTTTTTCATACTTGACTTCACTTTATTCTTTTTCTTCCTAGATCCACAACACAGGCAGCACCATTTAGGCCAACAGTTACAGGTCTTCCCTGGTGGTTTCTTAGTAACAGGAGCATCAAATCCATAAAGTGCCTGCCTCCTGAAGACACACCCAGTTCCCACATATATTGGTCCTTGGATGCCATCTAAACCTTTCATATTGATCTATACATATTGTAACAGATGTTAGCTTTTTCCTTCAAAGCACAATCCAGGCATATACATGCACACATCAACAAGAGAAAATTCTTACATACATCAAAGAATACAACATTGCGATTTGAGTATCTATCATGACGATCAATCCCATCAAATCTTTGAGGAAATTGTACATAGCATATTTTTTTCCCTGATGTAGGATCCATCATGAAGCACATGGCTTCACGAAGGGCCTTACTGTTGTTTATGTAGTGATCACAATCAACATTGAGAAGGTAAGAAGCATTTGAGATTACTGCTGAGACTCGCACCTTCATAATCAACCAACAAATCACAAAAATTGGTTAGGAAACTGGAGACAGAAGAAAACTGAAAAAGTTTTGAAAGTCAAAGGGACTCTACCAAGGCATTCATAGCTCCAGCTTTTTTGTGGTGCTCATATCCAGGTCTTTTCTCACGAGACACATAGACAAGACGAGGTAATTCATTTCCTTCAACATCACGAACCCCATTTTGACCAAGGAAAACCTGTAGAAGAACATGAAAGTTGAACTTATCCAAACACGCTTCAATCAAAACTAAAGACCAAGATTGCATCATAAAATACTACTTACCTGTATCATTCCAGGATGATCTCTGACATTGTTCCCAGGCCATGGAGTCCCATCCTGCATTGTCCAACCATCCTCAGGAACCTTCAGTGCCGTTGCAACCAGCGCATTAATCCGCACTTTGAACTCTTCATACTCCCTCTGTATCAACACAATTGAGAACACCAAATGCAATTATTAATTGGTTAGAGCCCAATAAAAGAAATGAAAGATTATAGCAGTAAAAGCAAACAAGTATAATTAAAGAGGAGATACTGCAATATGCCAACTTTTCTCTGGCATAAACAACGTTTCTCAGCTAGTTATATTTTAAGCCAATGTGGAAGTTTCAAGTTTAAGGCTTTTTTTTAGTATGCCAAGAAAAAGGGGATAAATTTCCAGCACTCCGGTAATACAAGGACTTGGTGCTACACCTACTAAACTTAGAAATGCATAACTGACATAACTGTGTTTATTCCACCCACTTTTTTTAGTTTTAATGCCACATGAGTCAACATATTTCTAATTTTAGTGAAGGAGTATGTACTACAAGAGTACTCAAAAGAAGGGGGAGGATATAATAAGAACAATTTCAAACCTTAATGGCTCTACGCTCTCTGATAAATGCTGCATCCACTTTATCTTTCAGATAGTCAACCTTCTGAGTAAAATACCATTCAGGAGCCCGTGGTTCAATGCTGAACTTCTTGCAGAATGGAACCCATTTCCTTGCAAACTCAGATGTTTCTGAAAGGGCTTCAAATGTAAGCATAGCAGCACCATCATCTGAGACATAGCATGCAACTTTGTCCACAGGATAATCTACAGCAAGGATGGACAGAACTGTGTTTGCAGTTATAAGTGGGGGTTCTTTAAGAGGATCGACTGTACTAACAAATATGTCTATATCAGCTAATTCAGATGGTTTTCCTTCTTTCTCGTACCTGTTAAGTTGTTAAGCATTAGCTATGGAGTAATTAATAAACAATCTCACACACACAAATGGAGAGGGGCCAAAAAAGATAAATACCGTAGTGATAAACGATCAAGGTATGTTTCTCGCTCAACTGGGCACCATTTGGGAAACTGATCCAAAATCCATGATACAGCAAACCAGATTTCACATATTACTGATGTCAGCCACAATGCATATGCATCTTTGACTGGATGGAGAATTCTGTAATGAAAAAAGAGGCAAAGAATAGCAATCCGGAGTACTATTATAATTCTGTATGGATTTATCCTGCTTGAACTAATTGGCAACTTTCTCCAAAGTGGCTGTCTTCCTTCATCCATTCTGTTAACAGAAATTCAAAATTAAATCGTCTTAAATTAAACATTTTTCTCTCTTTTTAAACAACTGCATGTTTTGATATCCGAAAATTGAAATGTCAAAACATAAGTAATAAAAAAATCTTATTGCATGAGGACATGTAATTAACAGTCATATTAAATGAAAATCACGTTTAAGTTGTTTGAGGTAAAGCAATTATCCTGCATCTTTGTCTCTTACTCTCAGCCACATAGTCTAAGGCAAATCAGTTTCCAATCAACCTTTCTACCTAGCTAAAACAGTTTGGAATTATACTTTTCATGAGTACTTGTGTAACATTTAATTGTATGTAAGAGACAATAGTTTGGACATGCTCTGATTGAAGCAGCTAACTACAGCCTCAAATAAGTTGAAATAACTTAACAGTTAAGCAGACACATGATAACCACAAACAAATCCCAGCAATTATTATGATTAAATTTCAATGAACATATGATAAGAATTGAAAATATCACCTACTTTGGTAAGTCAGGATCATCCATCTCATCACTACCCTTTACCCCTTCATGTTTAACCACCTGAAGTTTTTCACTCTGTTTTTTCTTCCAATCTTCCATCCGTTCCTTCCATGCAACACTTCCATATCCATAAACTGCTATATCTTTTTTAGGATCCATTGGTCTGGGTTGAACTGCATCACCAGCATTAATTGTCATATAAATATAAGGACACTGAAACTAGTTTGAACTTAAACAAGCTAACAAGGAGTTAACACAGTGTAAACAATGTGCACATGCAAACCAAAACAAATAAAATCACATACCTGGCACAGATGAATCAGGAAAAGGCATAGGATGAACCCGTTTCCCACGAGCCATGAATGGAGGAATAATGAGAGCATGTTTATCAGCAGAAATGCCAACATCCTTAATTAACAAAATTATTATCAGACAAATAGGCCCATAAATGCCATGATCAAGCAAGACAAGAACAACCACAAGAGCTGTGAATCAACTAACCTCTTGACCGTATGTCAAGAGAGGGATATCAGCAGCCACAGAAGCTGCATCGAACTCTGATGGTGTGCCCTCAGACATGTAACGAGGATCTCGCCTAATATTGCTTCCAATATCAAGCTCACTTTCCAAATCATCAACATCATCCTCTTCTTCATCACCCTCAACTCTAGGACTACCTGATATCAGTTGCAGTGTTAGCCAAATCTATCAACAGGTTATATTAAATTGTGAAAGGAACTAATATGTACAACTTATCTGCAGAATCATCAGACTAAGATATTCCAAATATGATGATATGTGATTTCCATTATCAATTGGAATCAGATAGGACATGATTTTCACATCCTTATCCTTATCCCTAATAGAAACATCAACAACACCTTTATCACAAACTAGTTGGGGTTGATGGGTAGATGAACCCAAATAAAAAGCACAAATATCCCAAATAGGAACAAATACCACTCCCCACTAAAACTCAACTAGCTCATGACATTTCAATCACAAAGAATCAACTTTCCCACTACTCCAAGCTCGTCAACATCCCTAATAGGAACAAAGGTGAGAAAACTAAAAATAAAAAAACACAAGGTGATCAAAGCAAAAGTTGATTGAAGCATCACCTTTGATGCGCTTGTATCTGGTTTTGCACTGAGGGCAAACTTGGTTCCCCTCTCTTCTCTCATATTCATAGCAAGGTCTGCACACAGGGAATGCACATTCATTGCAAGCAACAAAAGGCTCACCATGCACTGTAACCTCCAACTCATCACCACAGATCTGACAAATCTGTCCAATTAATTCTGTAACAGCTGTCACCTGCAATTAATAGGAGTAATAATATAAAACCTCGATCACATCATGAAAATTGGATGGTAGTGTACACTAACAGAAGATGGAAGGTGCTCATAAGTTTTTTTTTTTTTTTTTTGGTAAATAGTTGCACATGAATTTCGTTACATAAAATATGCAGCGTCAAACTTTAAAACTTTAATGCAAGCTCTGAAATTCATGAACCGTAGAAAAAAACAAAAAGGAACAAGGAACAAGGAGAGAAACAACAAAAGGACCAAGTTGAACCCAATTTTTGAAAGGTAGATAGATGAAACATTTTTTTTTTCTTTCTTTCATCATAAAGCTGGAGGGAAACTGAATAACAAATTGAAGAGTTTGGACGGAAAAATAAAAAAAAAAAACACCACATACACACAGAACTAGCCCATTTATTTCAGCTGTTTCAAACTCTCATAGTGATTGAAAGAAAATACAAACAGAGAAAACTCAGATAAGGTACCAAATGCCCATAAGAATGAAGTGAAAAACTTAAAATGCAAGAGAACCCAAAAGGGGTCAGAATTCAGCATGAAAATCCATGAGAAAGAAAACCAACGGGGTATTTTCTTCTTCAAACTCTTGACGTGGCTTGGTTGGATGAGTTGAAGAATAAGGACAAAAAGCATAAATGACACTTTTTATTTTTATTTTTTTGGTTAAGGCTATAACTGCAAAATCTTCAGAGGAATTGAGAAAGCAATAAGATAGCATAAGAAGGGGAACACTCACTCTTGCAGTTTCATCAGCATTGATAAGAACAAACTCATTCCTGTTATGAGACCCAGCAATCAATCTTCCCTTGGTATCCATTGAAAACCTTCACTTATTCACTCACTCACCGACACCTGAATCTTCAAAATATAAGACCCCACTTCACAAACTCCCCTTCTCTCCCTCTTCCATGCTCATAAAGAACACAGATTTACCATGTCCTGAAGTGAAGATTACAGTTTCAAACAGCTATTAAAGGGTTGGAAAGGTTATTGAAATGAGAGCAAAAATAAAGAAAGTTGTTTCCTTTAAAGGGCATTTGAATGAAAATGATTCTTTCCTTGAGCAACCCAGTTTTCTAACATATGGGTTGCCCTGTTACCACTGTTTCTCATTTGTGAAAGACACAAGCTTGAAGCAATGAGCATGTTCATCAAACTCATTATAAAGGGAAAAATAAAAGTGACAAAAAACTGAAAGTGGAAAAAGAATTAAAAAAAAAAGAAAAAAAAAGAAAAGAAAAGAGAATCTAGCACGGGTTGGAAATTCAACGTGTTGTGTTGGGGAGAAGAAATGAGACAGAGAAAAACAAGGTGGGAAAACTAAGAGGGTTCTGTGTATATGTTATATGTATATGTGTTTGTGCACCGTGAAGTGGTTGTACGCATCTTTCTTTCCCCCTAATAATGCACTCTCATCATGTATAGGTTACAAAGTAATGTCCTTTTCTACCAAAAAATTATAAAGCAATGTTTATGTTTGATGTGTAATTCTTATAACTATGACTCAAATAGGAAACTATAATTAATGTATATTAAGAAAATATATTTATCTTATATTCTATATGTAAATTTAGAATTATTTTAATAAATAAATAAAAATTGGGTCATATAATCATATATACATAGCTCCGATACTAGATGAAGAAAATAATTTTTAACTCATTAGTCAAACCCTAGAGCATGAATAAGAAAATGTTAATGCATGGAGGACTAGCATAATTTGAGATATGTGGAGAGTTGTTGCTAAGTAATTTTGAATGTTTGTTAAAAAGTATATTATGTTTTATTGATCGAGAAAATTATATTAGGTTTTACCTTTTTTTATTAATATCATTGCATTTTTTTGTTATTTTTTTATAGACTCTTGTAATTTTGAATGTTTGTTAAAAAATCATATAGTTTTTTAAAATCTTATAAATACATATTGTCATTTCAAATATTATAAATTCTATTAAAATCCTTTAAAATACAATCTTAAGAAATCTTGATTGTAAAAAATATCTTTTAAAAAAGTCTTTAAACTCCGTCCAATTCTAAATAGTATTTTAAAATCTATAAGATTTTTTATCTCAAAAAAATCTTTAAAAATCCTAATCCATACACCCCCTAAGTCTTATATCAAATTTGTAGTTTTAAAGTAACCGAAGATAAACTTATCTCAAGTTGCCGGAGAAATATTTTTTTCCATATATATATATATATATATGAGAGACAAAATCTTCTTACATCAATGTAAGATTAAGAAATCTTACATCCAATTTAAATCGTTGATTTTCGATGTCTGACGATTATTGAAAATTAATAATTAATTAATAAGAATAATCTAATTAATTATAGTCAATTGATTGACGGAAATCAACGGTTAAGATTGAGGTGGGTCTCACCTTTATTTTTTCTCTCTCCTCTTACATGTGGGTGCCACTTGCAATTTTATTTCTACTACATGAGATAATTTTATTCGTACAACATAAAGAAAATTATATATATATATATATGGAAAAAATATTTCTCAAGCAGCTTGAGATAAATTTATCTCCAGCTATCCAAAACTACGTCATTTTATTTATTTATTTCCTTATATTAATTGATTAACCTTTGAATGGTTATGATTCTCTTTTTCTCTCTCTTCCTTTATCACCACCATTGATCCATCCTTGTACGGTTATAATTTAGTCGCCGAAAATAAAATTATATCAAGCAGTTTGAGAAACGATAAGCCATATATATATATATATATATCAATCGATTCATCGTTTTACGACTAATCTAATTTAGGATGGATTTCGGGATTATAACTTTAAACCTCTTCCAAAAATAATACTAAAATCATCAAACATATACTCTTATCCCACCTATTCAATTTCCCTTCGCCAATTGAAGTATGCTTTATTCTTTTCAAGTTGCACTGAGTGAAGCTCAAGCTAGTCTCGAGGGTGGATGATTGGCACAAGTATCATTGTGTAACAATTTTTTAAAACATTTTATAAAATATTGTGCAGTGAAATTTATTTTTAAAATATCATACTTTTGAATTTCGCTTACCCAATCAAAAGGATTGAAAGGTATCAGAGATTAAGAGAAATGAGAGTTTAGAGAGAAGAGAAACTGTATTGAATTGAAAAATCAGAATATTACATTGTGTTAGACTAAGCCAAGATTATATATATATATATATATATATATATATATATATATATATATAGTTATGATTAGACTATCAATAACTGATAACTAACCAAATCTGTTATAACTACCAAAGCTGAATATAAGGAGTCAGTTAATCATATAGCAGATGCTGACTCATCTATTCTTTCATTCCCCCGCAAACTCAACATCAAGGGTAATGAGAGGGTGAGTTTGTCTCTGAATTCCAAGAACTTAGAACTGGATACAGCTTTGGTTAGACCATCTGCAACTTGGTTTGCAGAAGGAATGTGACTTACAATAACAGAGCCACTAAGTATCTTTTCACGAACAAAGTATAAATCCAGTTCAAAATGTTTTGTTCTAGAATGAAAAAGAGGATTTGTTGTAAGGAGAACTACACTGAGATTGTCACAGAATATGTGAGGTGTGTTTGACGAAGAGACTCGAAGTTCTGACATTAAGGACTTGATCCAAGTCAGTTCAGCAACAGTCGTAGCAAGACACCTGTATTCTGCTTCAGTGCTTGAACGGCTCACCACTCCTTGCTTCTTGGAAGACCAAGATATTAAATTCCCTCTTAAGAAGATGCAGAACCCAGAGGTTGAACGTCTGTCATCTAAATCAGAGCCCCAATCCGAGTCACAGTAAGCCAAGAGTTGAGGTTTCAGAGAAGGAGAAATAGTTAAGCCCAAATGATCAGTTCCATGAAGATAACGAAGTATACGCTTAACTGCTTTCCAGTGAGACTCCAATGGTGTGTGCATGAATTGACATACTTTGTTAACAGAGAAAGTAACGTCAAGCCGTGTAATAGTTGCATATTGAAGTGCACCTACAATGGAACGATAAAGAGAGGGATTATTGAATTCACTGCCATCACGAGTTGAGAGTTTGAGGCCAGAAACCATTGGAGTTGGCATTGATTTGCTAGTAGCTAATCCTGCTTTAACAAGTAAATCAGCAATGTATTTGGATTGAGAAAGGTGCAGAGTACCATTAGGCAGGAACTTTGCTTCAACACCCAGAAAATAATGAAGAGATCCTAAGTCTTTGAGAGCAAACTCAGCATTGAGAGCTGTTATAAGTGAAGATATCACTGTTGAAGAGGAACCAGTAATTAAAATGTCATCAACGTAAACAAGGACATAAGTGGTTGCAGAATGATTGAATGACACAAACAGTGAAGTATCACATTTTGTAGAATGAAAACCAAGCTTTATGAGAGTACTGCTTAGTTTCTCAAACCAAGCACGAGGTGCTTGTTTGAGACCATATAGTGCTTTATCTAATCTGTAAACGAGTGAAGGATTGTCTGAGATAAAACCTGGTGGTTGTGTCATGTAAACCTCTTCTTGGAGAGTACCATTAAGAAAGGCATTGTTAACATCTATTTGTCGAATAGACCATCCTTGAGAAAGAGCAAGAGTAAGAACAACTCGAATAGTCACAGGCTTTACAATCGGACTGAATGTTTCAGCATAATCAAATCCTTCACGTTGGTTGAAGCCTTTTGCAACTAATCTGGCTTTGTATTTCTGTATGGATCCATCAGGTTTATACTTTACACGAAAAACCCATTTACATCCTATCGGTTTTCGGGCAGAAGGTAAAGGCAGCAATGTCCATGTTTTGTTCTTCATTAGAGCAGCATACTCATCTTTCATGGCATTGAACCAATGAGGTTGAGTTAAGGATTGAGCTACAGTGGATGGCTCTAATGAAGTAGTGTAGAGACGAGGCTTGAATATACCAGCCTTTGCTCTAGTTGTCATGGAATGAGTATTTGGTAAGGAAGCATGATCAGCAACAATGTTGACATCAGTAGATGGCAATTGTAATGGAGCAAGATTATCAGCAGACCTGCAAGAAGAATTTGAAGGAGATGGCAAAGTAGGTATAATACTGTTAATGGTGTTAGTAGAAGATGCAACACGTGAGTCACTCATAGGTAATGAAGAGGTAACTGTAGGTATGAATGGTGTATGATTTGGGATGAATGATGTGGTTGTAGTTGCTGGTTTGTCTGTGACTTGTTGATAAGGAAAAAGGTGTTCATTAAAGATGACATGTGGAGTAATGACTATTTTTCCACTTGGTATGAGACACTTGTACCCTTTATGGCAAGTACTGTAGCCTAGAAAAATACATTGAGCTGACCTGTAATCGAGTTTGTGAGTGTTATAGGGCCTAAGGTATGGATAGCATGCACATCCAAAGGTTCTGAGGAAAGTATAATCTGGCTCTTTTGTAAACAATAGTTGATGGGGAGAGGTATGTCCAAGGTTGGGAGATGGAAGCAGGTTGATAATAACACATGCTAATATAAAGGCATCCTCCCAGAACTTTTGTGGTAAGGAAGAGGCAGCAAGCATGGATAAACCAGTTTCAACAAGATGTCGGTGTTTGCGTTCAGGTGTACCATTTTGCTGATGGACATATGGACAGGACAATCGATGGATTATACCATGAGTTTGAAGGAAAGACTTTAGAGTTAAGTACTCTTTTGCATTATCTGTTTGTAGTGCTTTTATTTAGGTATTAAGCTGCAGTTCAACCATATTTTTAAATTGGATGAAAAGAGCAGGTACTTCAGATCAGTTCTTCATAGGAAAGAGCCAAGTTTATCGGTTGTAAGCATCTATAAAGCTTATATAATATCGAGAACCATCGGTGCTATTGACTGGAGCTGGTCCCCAGACATCTGATTATACAAGATCTAATGGATTTAGATATGTATTTGCAGAAGAAGAAAAAGGAAGTTGGTGCATTTTACCCATACAACAAGGACCACAAATAATTTTATTTTCATTTCGAAAGGGAATTTTACAATGAGTAAGAATGAACTTTACAGTTGAAAAGGAAGCATGTCCTATCTAGTATGCCATAGCTCAAGAATTGAGTTGCATTTATTTGTAGATGCATTAGTTTCTATTTGAACTTGAAACACAGAATGCTTGGGTTTTGAACTCTTGAGATGTGAAAGTGTGTGTGCTCCTTCAAAGGCATAGAGACCACCCTTAAGCTTTCCTTGGAGAAGTATCTCCTTGGTAGCCTGTGATTTAACACAACAGCTGTTAGCATGAAACTCAAAGAACACATCATGATCT